CCCCCAACCCCACGCCAACTCACACACCCCTCATACCCAACTTACACACCCCTCAACCCCAACCGACACACCCTCCACCCAGGCCTGCCTGGAGCAGCTGTCGGAGCAGGCCTTTGACGACCAGTGCACCGGGGCCAACCCCCGCTACCCCCTCATCAGGGACCTCCGCCAGATCTACACCGACGCCTGGTCAACCCCCATTGCTGACGTCATTGGCGCCGCCAAGAAGGCCGGCTGCCCCAAGGAGGGCCTCGGGTTCGAGTCCCTGCACGACTGAGGCGGCAGCACGGGGGCCGGGGCTTTGGCGGCGGCGCCGCCGCAGCCGCGCAGGCCGCCCCAAGTACCGCGACGCTTGAGGTGGCGGCCGGGGTCGCGCTGGCTGCCCCTTCAGGGGGCCGGCCGGGCCGATGGTGCGCCTGCGCCGCCGGGCCGCCGCCGCGGCGCGTCACACCGGTATGGCGTCTGCTATGGCTGTGCGCACCCGGTCGTCAAGGGTGCAAGTTCGAATCTATTTGCGTGGGCCAGCACGCGCTTGCGCTTTGCCAACACTTGGCATCACCGATTGCGCACCATCTCTGTCCTGCGAAGGGCTCGTCGTAATGGCATGTCGGCCCTGCAGCGCTTGCGCGACAAACGGCTGGATTCGCAAGCGCGCGTGCGCCTGCGCCATCCACGTGCAAGCCCCGCTTGTTGGCCTGCGCTTGCGCACGAGCCGAGCGTGCGTGCGTCAGAACGAAATGCCGTGGCTTTTGCTGCGAACCAGGGCCCCTGTCACCCGGCCGGGGCGTCCCCCTTCAGTCTGTCTCCAACACTGTTTTGTTCACCAGAGCAAGAATGCGCTTTCAACGGGGCCCCCGGCCAGCGCTGGCCGCGCGGCCCTCCTCTGCCCCCACCGCCGCGCGCAGCCGCGCGCGCGCCAACCTTTGGTGGCGCCCGCGGCGCATCGCGCGGCGGCGGCGGCTTTGGGGGTGGTACCCCGCCGGCGGTGGTGGCGCTTGGTCGGGCCCGCGCCCCTCTGGTAGTCGTGCCTGCAGCCCTCGCTGCGACGCGACCCCAGGAACCCCGAACACCCCCCTCCCAACCCCACCGCGACATCCTCATACTTGGGTACCTACCAGGAGTATTTCGCCGCCTCGCAACCACCGCTCCCCTTTCATTGCATGACTCGTTCACGCTGCAAGCTTTGGTCGTGCCCCGCTCATCTGAAGCGTGAGCTGGCACCTGCCTCTCGAGGCGCGCGACCGGTCGCCTGCTGACTGTGTGCCTGACTGCTTGCCCGGCTGCGCGCAGCATCACAGGAAGCTAGCGAGGGAGCCGCGCGGTCTGTCGGTCAGTCTTCGTTGGCGCCGCGACGGCCATCCCTCCGTCGCAGCACGGCTGCTGATTGCCTGGGAGGTCGTACCGCTCAGTAGCACTCAGAAATGGCGGCAATTGGGATTTCCGAGCCGTCTGCGTGTTACGGTTTTAGTTTGCTATTGCTGTTTTGCCCCTGCGCCAAGCCGGCACTTTGACCATCCGAACTGGCGGCCCGCGCCTTCCTTTGTTGCTTATAAATGTAAGAAATGGAGGCATTCGAGGGGCAGCTCTCTTCAATTAACCGCTTCAGCAGATGAAGACGGGAATTGGCAGCAAGGGAAGCGCAGGAAGCACCCACAAACAGCGGCGGTCAATACCCATCCATCCCTCCCGCCCCCCCTATGATCCACCACCACCTCACCAGTCCACCACCAACTTACGTTGTGTTCACACATAGAAAGGGTGCAGTAAGGCCCAAAACTGGGAAGTGCTTTGGTGGACGCGAAGGGAGTGTGACCCTCAGCCCTCAAGGCAGTTGCGCAATTGTGATGTGACCGCTCACTGCGAACTGCTCGTGTCAGGTGGCGTGGCGACCATGCTGTGCCTGCTGTGATGACGGCAAGCAGACCGGTGTTGGGCATGTTAGCCCGGTGTGTTCTAAAATAGTATACTTGTGATGCTATATGCTGTGTATGTGGCTCGCTCGAACGCAACACTGCTGATGTGTGCAGCTGTGTGACAGCAGTGAGTTCGGTGTCACCTGATGCCTTTCATCGTTTCACTCGGCCAGTGTTCGAACCACGAAACGAGGTTTCTCAGATACGTTACTGTAGATTAAGCTCATTGTCCTGCGGGTAACGCACAAGATCATTCTTCCGAAAGCCTCGCCTATCCGCGTGGCGTGGTTATACACCCCACGAAATTCACGAACCGATGCTTCTATCTCGCACGACTTACCTGTGCCGCGCCCCGGCGCTCGCGGGGCGCGCCGCGCAGCGCGCCAGCACGCGCGTCTTCAGCCTACACGGCAGCAGGGACGAGCAGCACTACTCATCCACCGCCACCCTGTACACGGGGCAGGTGCGCCCGTGCACAACTACTCTCACGATCGCGCGCCCGACAGCCGCGCGTGCGCACGCCGGCCCGGCCGGGGCGCCACGTCAGCGCCAGCATCTGTGTGGTGCGGCGCCTGCCCCAGGCGCACTGCTCCGCGCCTGTCACACCCCTTCCTCCCGCGGCCGCCTGCCGCCCGTCTGCCCTCAAACCCAGCCCTGATCCTTCCAGCCCTGCAACCCTGAACCTCGCCACCCTTCACCCACCCCGCACAACCCGTCGCGCTCGACGCCCAGTGCTCCTAATGTGCACCCCCTCCCCCCCATACACACAAACGACCCGTCCAACACCCCCTGTCCATGTTACCCACCCCCCCAACCCCAGGACCCCGTTGATGGATCCCTGTGCCCCTACTCTCAGTCAACACTGATTGCCCTGCTGGAGAAGCAGGTGCCCTTCAAGATGGTGCAGGTGAGGGGGGGCGGGGGGCAGGGGCTGCGCTGCTGGGACAGGGGAAAGGGGGGCTGGTGCGGTGCGGGCACGCAGGTGGGGTTGGGGTTTTGGGGGCTTGGAGGGATTTGGGAGCTGGGGTGATCAGACGGAGTGTCCCGGGGGACGTGGCTGTCTGGTCGGCGATTGTAGGAGGGGGCCGTGCCGGCTGATGCGGCGCGCCGGGCGTGCACGCAGGCGGGTGGGTGCTGGCCTTACTTTGTGGGCGACTTGCAACCCTCCTGCCCCCCAGCTCACAACCATCCTAGGCTGCAGAACCCAATCGCCTGCCCGAAATGCCCGCCCCACCCCACATTCCGGCCCCCCTACATGGAACATTATTTGAACAAAAAACAAGGTGGACATGTCTGACAAGCCGCGTGAGTTCCGGGAGCTCTACCATGCCGTCATCCCCCACAAGGACGTCAAGGAGAGGGTGCCGCTGCTGGTGGGAAGCCGCCGCGCAGCTGCCGGCGCCGTTCGAAATCGCGCGCGATCCGGGCGCCCACGATACACCTGCCTGTGGGTCCGCCGCGGCAGCGGGCGCGCGGGGGCCGGGGCGCCGCCGGCGAGCGGGGCTGCGCCCAGCCGGGAAGCTCGGCGCCGTGCCATTTGCTGCGCGGCGGCAAAGGGAGGGAGGGTCGCTGCACAGTCGTCACAGGCAGGCGGCGCGGCTAGAAATGGTTCACCGTCACACAGATGCAGCGCCGCCTGACTGCGCGCTTACGACTGGCCGCGTGCGTTCCGCCCGCAGCCGCCCAGCCTACTCATGCATGCGCACCCGCGCACCCGCCGCCCCCGTGCCGCCCCCCGCCACCTCAGCTCGACGGCCCCACCCACCTGGCGG